TGTCGCTACTCGAAAAATGCATCGTGCAACGACGGGAAGGAGAAAAAGATAGACAGAAGAGTCGCCACCGAACTTTATTTATCCCATGAGGGGAAAGGAAAATATCTAGAAAACCTTAAGAAATAAATGGATAAGATGGTCTCGCAACCAAGAACGGGTTCGGAAGCCGGTTATGCGAGGGGAAGGTATTAGCACCCCTCGCATCCATCGTACTCGATGGGAACCATTTGTTTGTCGACGTGTGAATTTATTTGCTTAAATATTATGCTATAAAAAGTGGTCCAAAGGGGGAGAGAAAAGGGTTAGAAAAAGGAAAATGAGAGGTAAGAGAGAGAAAGATCGGACTCGGTAGGACTTCGCGGTCCTAGGCCTACGTATTCTCAAAAGGTATGAGAAAGTCAGAGTCGACGTAGTTCGGGGCTACGGATATAGGGGGAATGTGCTCGGCAAGGATTGTGGCCCTTGTGCCTACGTATCTTTACTTAAAAGAAGTAAAGAATCAGAGCAGTCGTAGTTCGGCCTACGGTTTGCGGATGAGTTTTGGTAGACAATGCTATCGTGCGCATTCTAGCAGTTTAGATGTTTTACTGCTCGCATGTGAGGAGACTTATGTGTTACCTGTTTGCGGTAGAACGGATGTAGCATGCCTTTCTAGGAGAGGGTGAAAAATAAAAAAAGGGTGCTCGCTAGGATTGTTGAAATCCTATGCCTACGTATTCTCAATAGACATGAGAAATCAGAGCAACGTAGTTCGTGCTACTACGGGTAACTGGTGTGTTTGTGGATGATGTTATCGTGTGTATTCTATCAGTTTAGGTGTATTGCTGCTCGCATGTGAGGAGACTTATGCGTTACCTGTTTGTGGTAGAACGAACATAACCTATCCTTTTTGAAAGGTTGGTTTTCGCCATGCGAGGCAAGGTATCATGTTTGATTGGTTGAGATTGTTTTTGGGGCGAGATAGGTCCTCGGATAGTAACCCCTACGGGTAGTACCCAATTCTTTATCTCAAGGTTTTTGTTATGAAATGGTGTGGCGAACGTAGTGTCTTCATATTGAAAGACGAGTATCGAGACCAGCCCCACTACAGTGAGCATCCCAACACTCGGAGAGGAAGAAAACTACACTTAATCCTCTCTCTTTAATTCAATGCGAAGAGAACTTTGTTCTCTTATTAAAGATGTTTTTGGTTTTGAACGGTAAGTGCTTTTGTGACAGAGAACCCTACGGTAAACGTCAAGCACTCGGGATAGGAGAAGGCCTACGCCTAACCACTCCACGACCATTCAAGTATTTGTTATGAAAAGAGTTCGAAAATGCACTAGGTGCAGGACCGAGGTTTTAGGTAAGAAAGGTTTCGGGAAGGAGTTGTGGAAAGAGATAGGTGGAAGGAGTCGCGTCTTCGTATTGAAAGACGAGTGTCTAAACCACCCACACTACAGTGAGCATCTCGGCACTCGGAAAGGAAGAAGTCTACACTTAATCCTTTCTTTTTAATCCAACACAGAGAGAGGTTGATTCTTTATTGAAAGGGATTTTGAAAATGGACTCGGTACAGGACCGAGGTTTTTTTAGGAGAAAAGGGGGTGGAGGCGTCTTTGCATTGAAAGACAAGTGTCTAAACCACCCACACTACAGTGAGCATCTCGACACTCGGAGAGGAAGAGGTCTACACTTAATCCTCTCTTTTAATTCAATACAAAGATAATTTGTTTGAAAATGTTTTAAGACGGACTAAAAAGCCCAAAATCGAGAGAAAAGAATAAATGAAAATAAAAAGAGATAGAAAAATAAATTAATATATCAAAACATAAAAGATTTTTTTAAGATTTTTTTTAAATATCTAAATACTAATTTTAAATAAATGGAAAATAAATAAGAAAAGAAAAAAATAAAAAGAACAAAGTCATAAAAAGAGAAATTGCCTCCCCAAGGAGGCGAGGCTGTTCCTTCCCTTTCCAAATGAACGAGCCTTGTTTTATTCTCAGAGGAGTCTCTCAATAATCGTCTGAAATTAGAATGCTTCTGCAGGTCATTGTGGACCGCTAGCTGCTCTGTTGCGGATGGTTCACATTCGTACAACAATTGTTTTCTTTGTTTTGGTAATATCGTACGTTGTGGTACGGTTTGTGCAAGTGTTGTTCTCAATTCGCTGGCTGTGTACGAAATGGGTTAGTTTAATGCTGCAAGTTTTGTCTGTTGCTCGAGCTATTAGCAAGCTGTGAAGGTGGTGTCACGACGTGAGTTTCTCGCTGACATCCTGCTACTTTATGCAGGTTTTTTTTGGTATTTGGTGAATCATGGTCTTCCGTCTCTCAGTCTTCCACAGCAAAATGATGTTGGCTGATATTTTATGTCTTGGGGGATACCGTAAAACGTTGCGTGTTTCTTACTGTTGGTGCTGCTGCGTGACAGGGGTCGTACCAGTTGAAGGAACACGGTGGTGAAGCTTTGCTGTAGGTACGTTGGTAATTGTGGTTTTTACGGTAGTACAAGTTGTTTTGCTAGCAGCTTGGTAAATGAGACTAATTGACGGTTTTGTTGCGTTGGTAGCTTGTGATCAATGTGGCGTATCCTTGAGAAGGATTTTAGTGTGGAAGAACAACTTAGGCGTAAAAGCTCTGAAGTGGCCGGTAATGGAAAGGAAAGTCATAGGGTTTATTTGGAGCTTGGGATGAACCTTACTAAACATGTATTGTTTTTTTTTCAAAGCTTTTTTCAACTGATTTTCTTTGTTTCTTTTTCATGTTCATCTAAGCCATAAGCTCGCAATCTCGATGCTTATATCAGTCTAGTTTTCTCTCTTGAGACACCAACTATAACATTTCCTTTTTGCCAACTGCTTTGAGCTGCTCTCATAATGAACTCTGTCTTCTGCAGGTTTGTAGCTTGAACCCTGTTTACGATTTCGTGCCGCAAGGGGACGCTCAATCCGGCACTCAACGTCTCCACTTATATATTTCCCTGTAAATTATGTAACTCATTTACATACCTTGGATTAGTGTATTGATTCATCATTTGACAAGCCTCTTAGTAACCGTTTCATTTCCACAATTTGTAACTTACGATTCAAAGACAACTTATGATTCTCTTGATGTACTTGTTGTGATGTGTTTTTTTAAGCCCAGTTGGCACTCCCTCCTTGTTTAGATGTGTTGTTCGTATAAAATGTGAATTTCTGGAAATTTGAAACATTGTATCATACATATCATCAAAGTATTTCACCATTTATGACATGGATACCTCATATACAAGCTATCACATTATTTATCTTGAACATAACACCTTGCATCTACGTAACACGAATTGAATTTGATATCATTTTACTCAGCTGACCTTTGAACTTGAGAATTTAATAATCACCTGGCCCTTTACTCCACCACAATTTGGATTGATCATATACTTCAACCATGACTTTGACAAAACCCACTAATTAGGCCAAATTGGATTTTAGGTTGGCCCACATCCGAAACCAAACAACTAAATCAAAGCTTGCTACTAATCTGACAATTGCTATTTGAACCTACTCCATAATTTGTAATTAGCAACAAAAATTGCCATAGATCAAGACAAAGTTCAGATTATTTGACCCCATTACTTTAATACCAGCTCCACATTACTTGAATATCCATTTTTTCTCTTGTTAAGCTCCACATCTTTTCAAAAACCTTTAATTATAGAAACCACACAAGATCTCTATTACCTAAATATTAAAGAGTTACGACCAGTGGATCATCCAAGGAAAAGATCGCCACGCCTTTATTTGACATAAGAAAATAAAAGGTGGGACAAATTTGGGGTATGAAAAAGTGCAGTTAATTAATGAATTAGTGCAGGTGTTAATTTCATTAACAATTAGTTGTTGAATTGGTTAATTGGCAGTTAATGACTTTGTGTAGTTAGAATAGATGACAATTATTATTGATGTTAATGAATTGGACTGTTAGGAAATATTATATTAACAGAGTGTTAAATGTTAGTTAATATTATATTAACAGAGGTTGGCCTAACATTTAAAAATAACATTTAGAACTATCTAGCAATTTTATAATTAATTAATATTGTTCAATCTCTAATGTTAGTTCTAAATGTTACTTCAATCTAACAGAGTTTGTTCAATCTAACAGAGTGTTAGTTCTAAATGTTAGTTAAGAATGTTAAATGTTACTTCAATCTAACAGAGTGTTAGTTCTAAATGTTAGTTAATATCTAGCAATATTATAGTTAAGAGTTGTTGAACATTGAAATGTTAGTTTAAATGTTAGAATTAGAGATGTTAGTTAACTATTATGCTAATTGAATGTTAATAGCATTTGAAAAATAATTATGGTTAGCTAACTGTTAGCATTTTGTTAGGATTGTTAGGGGTTAGTAACTTTTGAGACCTAAAAGCTAAAGTACAAACATAACTGACTTCACTTATGTTGGTATTATATAAATTTGGGACCTGCATTGGTGGCGTAACTTTTGAGACCTAAAAGCTAAAGTAGAATAAATACAGGTAAAAGGCTAAACTGAAAGCAAAGATAAGTTTAAACTTCAAAGCACACAGAGGAGATATACAATATAACCCGTGAATAAAAGCCTAAAATTCAACAAAATGTTTTATTTTCCTTAAATTCTACTGCTATGTCCCTACCTTTCACCATTAATCTTATGAATGTTAAAGTAAACCGTAGACCTTATATTAGAAGAAAAAAGTTGAAGAAGGGTTGTGAAAAAAAAATCACATTATCTGCTATATCTCAGAATGCATAACAGTTATGTCAATCAATATTAAAAAGAATACACAATATTACCTTTAATCTTATGAATAGTGATATTAATTTTTTAGTTATATAATATGTTAATATTGTGTTTGTTGATAGTTAAATTATTTTATGTGTTAATATTGTGTTAGTTTGTTAATAATAATGTATCCTTATGTGTTTATACATTTTATTTGTTTATAAATTTATTGATGGATGTTTAAAATATTGTAATTAAATTAGACTAAAGGTATGGACAAAGCATGGACTAAACTCCCAAGACACTGGAAGAAGTATAGAAAAAGTGTTAAGTCTTTTTTAGATTTTTCCTATACCACAGGAAGACCTCAAGGACGTGAAATTTCTTGTCCTTGTGCTCATTGTGCAAATTGTAAATGGGAAAGAAGACATGTGGTCCGCGATCATTTAATAGCTGTAGGTTTTGTGAAAGGATATGATGTTTGGGTAAACCATGGAGAGGATATACCATTGCCTATGAAAATTAAGGAGGACACAAAGGAGCAAGAGAACTCACTTGATGACATTGGTGGTTTATTGTATGACACATTTAGAAATGTGGTTGAAGCAGAGGAAAGTAGTGAAGCTCACAAAGAGGATGCGAGAAAGTTCTACAAGTTGATTAATGAGGCAAAACAAGAGTTATACCCCGAATGTGAAAGCTTCTCTACTCTATCGTTCATAATTCGACTTTACTTGTTGAAGTGTCTGCATGGATGGAGCAATGCATCTTTCACTTCCCTTTTAGAATTATTGAAAGAAGCGATTCCTGAATTAAACATTCCTGAATCTTTTAACAAAACAAAGACGATGATTAGTGATTTGGGTCTCGATTACAAAAAAATTCATGCATGTCCGAATGATTGCATGTTATATTGGAAAGAACACGAGAGTGGTAACTCTTGCAATATTTGTAAGGCTTCACGATGGAAGGAGTTTCCTCAAGTAGAGAGCGAGTCTTCTGAGCATGCGAAATATGATCATAAAGTCCCTGCTAAGGTTTTGAGACATTTTCCATTGATTCCACGATTTCAAAGGTTATTTATGTGTTCAAAGACAACAAAGGAAATGAGGTGGCATGAAGAAGAACACTCAAAAGATGGAAAATTAAGGCATCCTACGGATGGACAAGCATGGAGGGATTTTGATAGACTTCATCATGACTTTGCTTCTGAGCCTCGTAACATAAGACTTGGCTTATCAAGTGACGACTTCAATCCGTTCCGGACCATGAGCTTATCACACAGTACATGGCCTGTCATGATGGTAGTATACAACTACCCTCCTTGGTTGTCCATGAAATCTGAATATACAATGTTGTCATTGTTGATTCCTGGGCCACAATCACCGGGGAATGACATTGATGTGTACCTTCAACCATTAATTGAGGAGTTAAAGGAGTTATGGGAATTAGGAGTAGACACATATGATGCCTCAAAAAATCAAACATTTAAAATTCGTGCAGCACTCCTATGGACAATTAGTGATTATCCTGGGTATGCTATGTTATCAGGTTGGAGCACCAAAGGAAAGTTTGCATGTGCGTTTTTGCAATCATAACACTGAATCATCATATTTAAAAAATAGCCACAAGATGTGCTACATGGGTCATCGTGTCTTTTTACCAATGAGCCATGCTTGGAGGTTAAATAAAAGGTCCTTTAATGGAAAGAAAGAACTTAGGTCTGCCCCTTCTTTGTTAAAAGGGACAGATATTTTGGAAACCCTAAAAGATTTTCAGAATGAGTTTGGTAAAACAAAAAAGAAGAAAAAAGATGGTCCATGGAAGAAAAAATCAATATTTTTTGAGTTACCTTATTGGGCTGAAAATACATTACGTCATAATCTTGATGTGATGCACATTGAAAAAAATATATTTGATAATATTATTGGAACTCTTTTAGACATACCAGGGAAGACAAAAGATCACGTTAATGCTCGTTATGATTTGAAATACATGGGAATAAGAAAGAAGCTTCACCCAAAAGAGATTGGTGGAGGTCGTGCAGAGATTGCAAAATCTTGTTTTTCAATTAGTGCACATGAGAAGACTATTTTTTGTGGTGTTTTAAAGGCTGCCAAATTACCAGATGGGACTGCATCAAACATTTCAAAGTGTGTGCAAGTTAGTAATAAGAAAGTGTTTGGCTACAAGAGTCATGACGCACATTTCATGTTACATTACTTATTACAAGTAGCAGTAAGAGGCACCATGCCCAATGCAGTGGCTGAACCTCTAATTCGCTTAGGGTCATTTTTCCGCTCTTTGTGTAAAAAAGTTATCCGAGAGCAAGATTTGAATTTCGTAGAAGCTGAGATTGCAGATATCCTCTGTCAACTGGAGATGATTTTTCCTCCAAGTTTTTTTGATATAATGGTTCACTTGCCTATTCATTTGGTAAATGAAGTTAGATTGGGTGGTCCAGTTCAATTTCGTTGGATGTATCCCACTGAAAGAAACTTATGCAAACTTAAAAGTTATGTTCGTAATAGAGCTCATCCTGAAGGATCTATTGCTGAGGCATATTTGGCTGAAGAAGCTTTGAATTTTTGCTCAAGATACTTGCATGACAATGTAGACACAAGGTTAAATAGAAAGAGTCGAAATTATGACAATAGTGACTTGTGTGATGTGGATTTAAGCGATTACTTTTCATGTATTGGTCGTTCCTTATGTGGGAAGAAAAATGGTAAACCATTTTTTCTAGAATCAACTACAAAATCCCAAGCCCACCGATACCTTTTGTTCAATTGTGATGAAGTTAACACATTCATCAGGTACCATAATATATTAAGTTCATTTATAAAACACACACACACACACACACACACACACACACACACACACACACACACACACACACACACACACACACACACACACACACACACATTAGTGTTATTTTCTAATAGATGATAAATTATATTTGTAGGGAGCATGATGATATTGTCAATAGTCAAACTAAAGGACGGAGGTGGGTCAAGGCTAAAACCCAAAGTCACGATTTTAGTGAATGGTTTAAAACTCGAGCGTTGAAAGATGATGTATCAATTCAGCTGAAATATTTCTCTAGAGGTCCATGTGATACAACAAAGAGGTTTTCAGGCTACCTCATCAATGGATATAGATTCCATACTATGAAACGAGATGCAAGACGCAAAACTCAAAATTCAGGTGTAACTTTGGTTTCATTGACTCCAAGTTTTGCAAGCTCTAAGGATGAAAATCCTAGGATGAAAGCTGTAACTTATTATGGAGCAATTAGAGATATAATTGAGTTAGACTATTACTCTCAATTCAAATTTGTGTTGTTTGAATGTGATTGGTTTGAGGTAGAAGAAGACAAATATGGGCTTACTTGTGTATATTTCAACAAAAAATCCACATTTAAGTGAAGAGGAAGTAAACGATAAGATGAGAGAAGCCTTGCACAATGATAATATTCCAACACCGCGCTCATCGACATCAACCTATGCTCCTGCTCATCAAAAGGTACGTACTACAATTGATATTAATTAAAATTGGCATTTATTTTACTAAGTGTTGAGTTGGTATTTCTTTAGTATACTAATTTATGTTGCTTATATATCGAGTTCTCCCCTAGGATTAGTTAGTATTTTCTTACCAAATTTTGCTACTAATATGATGGAAGAAATGTTTAAATTTGACTATTCTTCATATTTACAGGTTAGAAATGAAGATGATCCTCAAGATGAACAAGATGGCGTTCTCCAAGATGACGACGATCTTCAAGATGATGATGATCTTCATTATGATCTTGATGACGATCTCCAATATGATCAAGATGACGATCTTCAATATGATCAAGTTGACGGTTCTCAAGATGATGATTCTCATGATTCTCAGTACAATGAATATGATGAAGACCTTCACTGATTCAAATATAGACAATTATTTTTTGTTTTGTGGAGTTACACAAACCACCTAATTAGTTTATTATATTTCAAAGAGTTTGGATTTTTTTTGAAAATATTTGTTCTTACATTTCAAAGTGTTTATTACACTTCATCTTATTAATACTTCATATTTATATGTTTTGATTAATTTATACATGTGTTTCTTCTCATTTAATTAATAATATTGACTTATACTATATTAGAATAAAATGAAGGTTTATGGTTGAAATGTATCATCATATAAATGAATAGAAATTTTTTTAATAATTATATATTTAAGTTTAAAGTTAATATTTACCAAATATTTTTCAATTTATAGGCAACGCTTTTTAAGGGTTGCTTATTAAAAACCGTGGACTTTTCCTAAGTTTTAGGCGCGGTTCTTTAAATGAAATTATAAACTAGCTACGGTTTTCTATTGTTGTTTTTTTATAACCGTTGTATATTCATGTTTTAGGGACGGTTATTTTGTGTTGTTACTAGAAAACCGCGACCTAAAACTACAACTAAAACCGTGGAATTTGATGATTTAGGGGACATTGTTTTGAATCCGTGGTTATAAATAAAAAACCGCGCTCTAAAGGAATAGGCAACGGCCGTTTATTCCACGTCTGATAAACCGCCCCCTAAATCCTTAGGCTACGGTTATTGCACTTTAGGTTGCGGTTTTGAGTTGTTGCCAAAAGTCATTTTTGTTGTAGTGACCCCACTCTAAACTCTCGCGGAAAAATAAGAGAAAAAACAGAAAGAACAGTTCAGAGTGCAGCAAAAAAAGGTTTCATGACGATCGTAAAGGTCTATCACGACCGTGACGGTCATGACGAGCGTCAGGGAGTGATGACGACCGTCACACTCCCAAAATCTGGGACGCATCAGAGGTGTCACATTTCAATACTTAACCAAAACACATACACCTGCAACAGATCATTTACTAACACACGTAGCACAGATTCGGATGAACAGGCAACGATAATTTGTTTAACATTTTAATCATAAAACGACATGTTATAATACACTCCCAACAATTCATAAACAACTAAATTCCATTAAAATTCAACAAGTAATTATCTTGCATCAATTCACAAAAACAACTATGCAACCAAGCAACACTTGGCATTATTAGTAACAACCAATTTATTTGAAGTGTACTTAATAAAATTCAGCAACAAGGAGTTCAACTAAAAACAACAACATCAATCGTTCATCCCCCCAGAGTGCTACGTATCAGAGCGACCAACGACCTTAAACATAAAGCGACCCTTTATTCCGAGTTACCTGCAAATTACCACCAACGGAGGTAACATACAACGTAAAGGGTGAGATATCAACAACATAACATAAGGCATGATAAAAGTCATGTCAGGATTATCTCATAGCAATTAAGATTCTCGCGGCTTTATAAATATCATAAATAAATGACTACACTGATTCATCACTCATATATATACTACAAAAATCAAGATATCTCATCAACACGCCATCACGGGCAACACAACTCAATGCGACTCTATACGACTCAACTATGCATATACATGTGGTACCATTTTGGGAGACAACACTCCACAATTATTCGGGAGACTCACTCCACAATTATCCGGGAGACTCACTCCACAATCATCCGGGAGACTCACTCCACAATTATTTTATTTTGTCATTAAAGACACAACCGTCGCCAATCCAGGCCAAATGATATGCTATGAGATGCAACTATTATGGACTATAACCCAACAACAACAACTGTGCAACAACCGTACAATAAGGCATCAATCCTACAACCAATTATCCATAACAGAACATCACCTTTCACATATGTTATGGACTCACCATTTCAACCTGTTCATATCAGAGAACTACCAACAGTATCGTTCCTACGAATAAGACTCTAACGCATTTTCGCAGAGAACAATTAAAAACAACATCGTCTCTACAATTGAGAATTCAATTGCATTTCCATATACTTTCATATGGTTAATATAACCACAACTTCTAATTTAATTAAATAGGGACATAATAACGACATTTTCTTAATAAATGGGAAAATAGCGCGTGTCGGCGCCGTTTCCCAATTTCACACAGAACTAATGACATAACACATTCATTCATACACAGACAAGCATTACCCTTAATATTTATCAATATAATAACATAAGGACACCAGAACAAACTTCTCAACAAATAGGAAATTAGCGCGTGTCGGCGCCATTTCCCAATATTACTACCCAGAACTAAATGACAAAAACACTAATTCATACACAGATAAACATTAACCTTTAATATTTATCGACCTACGAGAACTAACCCCATGATTCAATTCCCTACATGAAATTGATCATACCCACGGTTATAGAATTGAACCCCACCCTTACCTTTGGATTGAGTGCAACTCTAAACTTTCGGTTCCCGTTTGCTCTCCGGCGACTCTTCTGCAACTACCGTGAATTCTCTCCGGTGGTTAACTCTTCTCTTCTCAACTACTCTCGGTCACGATCTCTTTTCCATTGATTTTGGTTCTGAGCAGTTTAAAGTGTTTTCTCTTTTCTCCCAAAATCCCCTTTTTATATTTACTCCAATAATAATAACAATAATAATAATAATAATAATAATAATAATACTATTAATTATTAAATTATCACCAATATTAA